TGAGCTTGATGTCCCCTGCATCTATGGTCCCGAGCCACAGGTCGAACCACTCGCTCCCTCTGGGTAGCTGGCTGTGGCCAAGAAGTGACTAAAGCCTTGTCCCTTGTCAGCTCTACTATATGCCAGGGAATTCTTACAGAACATACCAATACACTTGTAGAAATATTGTCTGCCAGCCCTATACATTTCTAGCCACCTTTTTAGCATATATAATGTATACCAAAAATGGGCTTAGTTTCACCTTACCTCTGCTCCTTGCCTGCCTTCTAGGTTAGGTGAAATTTAATAATTAGAATATGTTAAAAGAGGGAAAGAAGAGAAGTTAAGAGTCTAGGTTAGCCATGAACTGATTTATTAACCTGAACATTGTAAGTGTGCTACTTAGCACTAGCTGTCTCTTATACTCTGATAAAACGGCTGTTGGCAGTACTGGCTTGTTATAGGGGCTTCTGAAACTTTTGTTTAGTTACTATGGCTTTATTGTGAGATGTGAGGGGGAGTATGGCTTCCCCAGATGATTGTGGGTGCTTTATCTTCAGAGTACAATCGGCAGCATGATGAGCATCTATAGTGAAGCTGGTGATTTTGGAAACATCTTTGTAACGGGCAAGATTGCCTTTTCCCTGAAGTATGAGCAGCAAACACAGACTCTGCTCATCCACGTGAAGGAGTGTTACCAGCTGGCCTATGCTGATGAAGCCAAGAAGCACTCTAACCCGTGAGTACTTTTGGAACCTGACTGATACTCTCAGATGAAAGATCAGACCTTGGCATCTGTCTGGGAACTCTTTTTGTTGTTGTTTTTATTGTGATTTGGGTGAAAGGTTATAAAGCAAATTGGTTCTCCATTCAACAATCCATATACATTATGTTTTGTGACATTTACTGCAATCCCCATACCACAATAGCACTCTTTCCACTTCCTCCCTGCACCTAACCCCCTTCCCTTCATTCTTCCTTCCCATCCTTTCCCACCTTCCTAGCTCTATCCCTGGGCAAATGCTGTCCTTTTGATCTTGTGTGCTTGATTGTTCTAATGAGTGCATTTCCTCCTGATATTACTGTTCACCTTATAGGCCTGTCCATCGTTTGGCTGACAGTTGAGTCACTGGGGTTAAGTTCAGTTCCTATCTTGAAGGGTGTATAAGGACCATAGTCTTGGAGGTTCTACCAGTCTTCTTCGGACAGGCATGCCTGGTCTTTTCTGCTATTTGAGCCCTGCTATGTCTGGGCATTCTTGAACTGAGGTTGTTCCTTCCTAGGGGGACAGGGAGGTATGATTGAGAGTGGTTAGGGGAAATATAGGAAAAGGACCAGGATTGCGAAAAAGCAAGAAAAGTATGTCTAAGAGGGCTTGAAGTGACATGTTCATTTCTTTGTAGTATATGTATATTGAGAGCAGGGAAGTGAATAATGGATTTGAGACAATACAGCAAATTTATTTTTTCTCTGGTTTTCCAGATATGTAAAGACTTATCTTCTGCCTGACAAATCCCGCCAAGGAAAAAGAAAAACCAGCATCAAGCGAGACACTATCAATCCACTGTATGATGAGATCCTCAGGGTAAGAATCTAGACCCTGAGCATAGGAGAACTTGTTCTGTCTTGTTTCCTAAGCTTTAGCTGTTCCTCTGCAACTTGACTGTTTGACATGGATTTCAGTGGGTCATGACTCTGTCTGAGGACACACTATGGGCATCTTTTCACATCTTGACTTCCCGGAGGACAAGAGAACAAAGGTGGTCTGTCTTTCTTGGATTGCTGGGAAGCTGGAGATTTACTTGGCTACAAATCTCATTTTAAAAAGTCATTTGGGATAGGTAGGTAGTCTCCTTGGCAGTTCTTTTTGGAAGTTCCTGTGTGCCCTCACCCACTCAAGGACAATTAATTAATTTTCCAGGTCCTCCCATGTATTATGGTAGCTTTTTGTGAAATGGGATAAGTTGAAGGTTTGAGTAAGGAAACTCGAAGTGCTTAGGGACAAAAGCAATTTGATATTCAGGACTATGGACTTTAGGTATGGTTGGTCGAGTTTTGGAATAACCGTCTTTTCTGAAGAATTACTGCTAAGTAATTGTCTTGGATTTCTACTTTTCTTTCACAGTATGAGATCCCAGAATCTCTCCTGGCCCAGAGGACCTTGCAGTTCTCAGTTTGGCATCATGGTCGCTTTGGGAGAAACACTTTCCTTGGAGAAGCAGAGATCCAGATGGATTCCTGGAAGCTTGATAAGAAACTGGATCATTGTGTTCCTTTACATGGAAAGGTAGTCTGCAGGAACAACTTAGCATTTATATCTGAGGTAGATTTGTCTGCATTGACCTCTGCGGATATGTTGGTAGCTGCTTTGAATGTAGCCTTCTGTAAAGTTCTAGCGCACTCTGCTGGTATTTCTGAGTTTCACAATAGTTTCAGATCCACTTGTATGTCGAGTTTGAGTAATAATCACTTTGTGTAAGCCAGGTGCAAAAACGGCAAGGAGGCCACATCTTCCGACCTCCTCTAACCCTATAAGAGGAAGACAGGATTACCAGCAGTAACCCAAGGCCTATTCCTACAAGGCCACACATGCTGCCTCCCTCCAGCCCTTTCTCCAACTGTTCCTCCCAAAGCATCCACCACCTCTCTCCTGGGTTCGATAATTCGCTGCAGTGGCCACACAGAGCTCACAGATTATGGGGTTTATTAGGGAAGCACCACAGGCT